GAGCTTGTTCCAACCCATATAATCATTTTAGCACCCAATAAACATGATTTAGAAAATAAACACCCAATAAACTCGGGGGGTTATATAAATACAAACCTCTTAACAAAAATCAAAACTAATAATCATGAAAACAAAAGAATTGATCAAAGAAAAATTATTTTCATATTAAAAAAAATTTTAAAACATAATTTTCAAAACCAAGAAAAAAAAAATAAAAACACTAAAATTCTTGGTTTAAAGATCATCTTGGCACCCAAGCTTTCTTGGTGCCGGGTTGTTTAGGGACATGACCCCTATCAATAAAGCTCAAAGCCCTAGGGTTATGAACCCTCTTGGGCACATGTGGTGCACTAACACGGTCAAAGCAATAATCACTCAAATGACCTTTTCGATTGTAATTTGTGCAATGAAAGAGATCCATTTGTTTTTGTGGACCATTATCTCATGGACGGAAATCATTTGCAAATAAAGATTGTCTTTTAGAAATATTTTTCAAATAAGAAACATTCTTAAACAATAGTCTATTTGGAACATATTGCAACTTGGAATCTTTTTGCATATCAAAACAAAATTTAGCAAGATGTTCAAACCTACCACAAACATCACATTTAAAAGCATGTGGTACTAGAAACATTTGGCAAACGGGATTTCTTTTCAAATCAAAACAATATTCGGCCAAATGACCAAAACGATCACAATGATCACATCTATACACATGAGCATGCTTATGATGAACAATGAGTGCATGTGTGTGTACATGTGATGAAGAAACTTGATGAGATGCACAAGGAGCATTGACATTTTTATGTTTGTATGCATCATAGCAAAATTTAGCTATATGGACTTTACGATCGTAAATAGAGCACTTGTAAACTTTGCTATATATGTGTGCATAATGAGTGGATGATGACTTGTTTGCACTAGACTTGGCACACATATTCATAAGCTTCTTATGGTTATCAATGCATATTCTCAAAGTTGAATCTAAAGATGAAATACGTTTATTCACAAGATTCAAATCTTCATTATTTGGCACATATGCACTTTTATTAGAAGTAGAACATAAATAGTCATTTATAAAAGAAGCAGTATCATTTTTTATGTTCTCAACTTCTAACATGACATTTTTTTTTCATGAGTCAAGTTAGTAATATCCAATTTTAAATTATTATTTTTTAAATTTAACATATCATTGTTTACTTTAAGAGCATCATTTTCTTGAGTAATGATATCAAATTTGGAAGCTAACTTCTCATGATCGGATTTTAAACCTTCATGCTTGCTTTGTAAATCAATAATTTTTTTATGCAATTTGTTATAGGTATGCAATAATTTTTCACTAACACAGGCGAGTTCATCAAAAGATAAATCATATTCGGATTCGGACTCGCATACCACACTAGGGTTATCCCCTAGTGGACGTGTGCATGATGCTCCACTATTACTTGAAGTCGATTCCACCATGACGCGTCGAATCTCCTACAAGTCACCTTGATATGCTTTAAAAAGTTTCCATATTGTGTAGGCACTATCAAAATGAGCAAGTTCGTTAGAAATACATGGTTCAAAAGCATTAAGCATGAATTCTAACATTAACTTGCTCATTCTAAACATCTTCTTATCATGTTTGCTCCACTTGGATTTCTCCAACGTGGACACAATATAAGCATTGTCAATAACTTCCCATAAATCAATATTTTTAGATTTAATAAATATTTTAAATCTAAAGCACCATTGAGCATAATAGAAGTTTCTATATTTTGGAGCAACACTAGGATCATAGCCTAAACAAGATGTATCATTCATATTCATAATTTATAAAAATATACAAGCAAGATATAATAATCAAAAATTGGATTAGCACAAAAAGATAACTTGGATATTTAACTCAAGGCGATTAGACCTAAAATCAATGAGCACCAAGCTCTGATACCAATTGTTAGACCCTAAGGTCGCTATGAAAGAACCCTAGAGGGGGGGTGAATAGGGTTTATGCTAATCTAGTCCGATTTTATGCCAATTTAAAACTTATTAACAAATTATTCTTGCAAGATAGATATACAATGTGATATGAGCAAGAATAAGTAATATAACTAAGGTGATATATCCTAGCAATGAGATATAATATATGGTATATGCAAGGATATATTTAAACTATCACAAGGGTGAAACAAACTAGTGGACAATATAAACAAGATGCAATAGGCTATAAGATGAACAGTTATAAGTGCGCTAATGCAAACAAAATACGATATATGTTCACGAGGTTCGGACCTTCCGTCCTACGTCCCCGCTCCCCACTCTCGAGAAGAATCCACTATACAACCCGGTTTGAAAGCCGGAACTTCTCTACACACTCGATTTTCTAGCTAACCGAAAACTCTACACACTCGGTTATCAAGTCAACCGATAACTCTCACAAATCCTCACAATATACATACACAAGCTACAACCTCAAGTGTTGGTCCTCACGTATCGACTCTCTCAAGTGCTCGAAATTATCACCTCTCACTAGGCCACTAACGCCACTCCTCTTGGTATCGACTCCATCCTCACCACACACTCCTCTTGGTGTACAAGTGTATTACAAAGTGATCCTCACAATTAGGCATAAATACAAATAAATTTGTTCTCTACAATGGATGAGAACACAATGTAAGATCACACTCTAAGTCACACAATCCCACAACCTAAATTATACTAAGTATAAAAATACAATAAGCTCAATGGTTGTGTGTGTAAACAAAGAGTAAATAAAATCAACTAAACTCAATATAAACACTAGCTTAATAAAATGGTAATTAAACAATATAAATGTAAAGCTAGATTGAGTTTAGAAAAACTTCTCTATAGATAACAAAAGAGAGGGAGAAGAGTGAATGCTCAAACACCAAGGATGATCTCTACTTGCTCTTGTGAAATTCTCTTCACAAACAAAACTCTTAAACACTCTTTTAAACAAACTAAAACAAACTTTAAACACTTATTAAACTTGTTTAAAACATTCTATTAGTTAGATATGAAGGATGAGAGTAAGGGGGTATATATAGCCACCCAAAACCTCAGCCAAAACTCAACTAAAAAGACAAAAAAACCTCCAGAAAATACTGCTAGAAACTAGCCGTTACTGTGCAACGGCTCTTTCATAAGTCGACTTATGAGTCGACTCATGAGTCGACTTTTGAGTCGACTAATGAGTCGACTTATATGAGTCGACTCAGCAGAAGAAAAATCACAACTCCGCTGCACTTCGTGAGTCGACTTATGAGTCGACTAATGAGTCGACTAAACGTGCACAGACCTAAAGTGCACAGAAAACTCAACTTTAAACTGGGTTTAAAAATATCAAATAAATTCCAAAAATTATGAAACTTTGGAAGATGATTGTAGACATAATAATAAACATGCTACAAGAACTGGTTTTGAAAAAGGACCTCCCAAATGAGAAATATCATTATTTTGCCAAATAGTCCAAAACATGAAAATGTGAACACATGAGTTTTGATATTTTAGCTTAACCATGTTTTGAAACATTACAAAATGATTTTGTAGACTTAATAAAAGATGTATATGATTATTTTTAAGTCTATAAACCAAGAAAACAATATTTTCATAAAAATACTTATTTTGCAAACTTTTAAAACAATAAACATGATTTTATTGAACTAAATAAAATTGATATTGATAAAATCATATGTAAGTATATAAACATGAAATAACAATGTATTTTCTAATTATATTCAATTGTTTTATATTTAAACTTGAAAAACCAAAACAATAAATATGAAAGATGTAATTTCATATTTATATAAACTTGGAAACAAAACAAGCTTGATCTTGATCTTCAATAAGCTTAACTTGGTACACATTGCGGATGAAGCTAGAACTTGGATCTTCAATTTGAATTGCATAGGCTTCAACCACTATTCCGCCAACCTCCATCTTATTGTTTGTCTACAATAAATAACAAAACACAAACACTAGACAAATAATATTAGATGTAAATTGTTTGTTAAATCATCATCAAAATAAAAAGGCCAACAGCCACCTCCATGACTCATTCTCCATGAGTCCTTGAAAACACTTGTCGACTTTCATGTTTAGATGCAAGGGAAACATGCGGTTCCTTGTCATCTTAACACAAGCTATGAGGCCTCCATTTGTATTTTTCAACCAAAGATGGTTGTTCTCCATATATACTTTGTATCCCTTTCCGAGTAATTGACCGATGCTAAGAATATTACTTTTCATGTTAGGAATATAGTAAACATCGGAAATATACTCGGGCTTACCATCCTTTTGGTAGATTTTAATCTTCCCTTTGCCTTCAACCGGGAGTTTTGAAGAATCTCCGAGGCTCACACTTCCATGAACTCCTTCTGCGAGTTCCATGAAAAGTTCTTTCTTCCCGCACATGTGGTTGCTAGCACCCGAGTCAAGGTACCAAGCATCATTCTCAACACTTGAATCATCATTAGCAAGAAGAAGCGTAGATTTGTTACCCACATCATTTGTTGCTTCGGCAAGATTGGTTTGGTCTTTAGTTTTGTGCCAACAATTTGAAGCATAGTGCCCAAATTTGTGACAGTTATGGCACTGAACATTCTTGTTGCTTTCACGCCCAGGTGTGGATCTTCCATGATTGCTTCGTCCTCGTCCTCTAAAGCTTTGGGTCTCCACTTGATTTTGAGTGGTTTTTTTGTTGGGGACCACGTCCCCTACCTCTACCACGACCACGACCACGACCTCTACCTTGTGAGCCTTGATTACTTAGAGTTAATGTTGACTCTAGTACTTGTTCCAAAACTATGGAACTAGCCTTCTTTTGCATTCGTTGTTCATGAACTTGGAGAGATCCCAAGAGCTCCTCTATTAAGATCTCCTCCAAATTTTTTGACTCCTCAATTGCCGCCACCACGTGCTCGAATTTTAGTGTGAGGGATCGGGGCAACTTCTCCATCACTCGGATGTCCTCCATCTTCTCTCCATTTCTCCTTATTTTATTCACAATTAGAAGTAATCGTGAATAATAATCGGAGATTTTTTTCTTCATCTTTCATTTGAGCAGCTTCAAGATCACCCCTCAAAGTTTGGAGGTGAATTCGCTTCACCCGCTCGACACCTTTGTAGATGGTAGCAAGGATTTCCCATGCTTCCTTGCTCGTTGTTTCTTCGACAACTCTCTCAAAGGTAGACTCATCCAACTCTTGATAGAGTAGAAAACGAGCCTTGCTATCCTTCTTTCTTTGCTCTCTGAGAGTCTTCTTCTCTTCGCCGGTATAGGTGGCTTCTACTTCTGGTGTAGGTTCCGTGAACCCATCAATGATCAGCTACCACAACTCTTGAGAACCAAATAAGGCTCTCATTTGGATTGACCAACTCTCATAGTTATCTTTCAATAATTTGGGCACTTGAGGATTGACAAGATTATTTGTGGTAGCCAAAAGAAGAAGAGTGAATGGAAAAATTGGATCAAGTGGCTCTGATACCTGGTGTAGGTTCCCTGAACCCATCAATGATCAGCTCCCACAACTCTTGAGAACCAAATAAGGCTCTCATTTGGATTGACCAACTCTCATAGTTATCTTTCAATAATTTGGGCACTTGAGGATTGCCAATATTATTTACGGTAGCCATGAGAAGAAGAGAGAATGGGAAAATTGGATCAAGTGGCTCTGATACCACTGATGACTCTTAAGTTTACGAACTTAGAACTCTCTCAAAGAACTCACTTATATTTCTTCAATTTTCTTTCTTCATATCAAACAAGGATTACAATATCCCTTTATATAGGCTTCAAAACAAAACCGTCTAGGCATGCCAATAGTCACAAATTAAACTAATATCTTAATGCCATAAAGATAAATAGCATAAATGAGTAAGTTACTCTTATTCTTTCATAACCTATGTCTCTTCCCCTTCTAAATTTATGAGTCTTGCACTTCTAAAAACTCATGCTATTAACCTCATTTATTCTAACATTTTAATTTGATATTCCAACATGAACTACCAAAATTTGAGCTACCTCCATTGTCTGAATTGCCCACTGTTCCAAGTATTCCTACTATCCAAACAACTCCCTAGGTTCCAATGTACGCTTACTTGTCTCCACCATCACTATCTTCCGATGAACATGAGCACAACTTATACCTGATGTTTTACTTTAGATTTCATTTATCATGTAAGAAAGTGTATAATTGTTATCATTCATTTGTGTGTTTATTTGTATTATATGTAATTCTGTTGTCCACTTGTGCATATGTTATGCATGATCCTAAGTTTTCACTTTGCTTGTTAGCAAAAAGAGATTTATGATAGTTTACAACTATATCTGATAAACGAGGCTTGTCAATACATTTTTCTTACCACATTTGATTGGTCACCCAACAAACCGTACCCCACATCAAATTTGACAGGTCACATTATAACTGAGCTATAAAATCTTTAGTTTTCTTATCAAAAAGTACTTCAACTGATGATCATATGTAAAAGCACAAATCATGTTTACAAACATGAACTTTGCTTTACCTTATTATACATCTCTGAAGATGCAAGGGCAAACTCCGACATAGTCCTAAATAGCTCTTCCAAGTGAACTGTGAGACTACTTACTGACTTCTCTCTCAACATTTCACAAGCAGTTTCATAGGATTCCACATCCATATCAAGCTTTGGCTTCAAATTTTCCCTCAGCTTTTCCTTCTTCTCACGTTCTTTCGAAGTCTCCACACATTTCTTTCTTAGATTCATCTCATCCTCTTGATGCACCATAATCATATGAATGACATCTGAGAAGCAACAAATAGCATGACTTCCTAGATCATAAGGAACCTTCTCAAGCTCTTCTTTCCATGTTTCGAGAAGATGCTGAATTGGTTTATGCAACAATTCTTCCTTCAACGAGTTACTAAATGTTCGTGATTCAGTTAAGCCTGACCAACGATACAAAGCTTCAATATATTCCATCTGATGAATCACAAGCTTTTGAAATTGTGAACGCCACTCTTTGAAGAGCTCCCATAGCAAAGCACTCCTTTCCCAATGTTGCTGGCTCGTAACTATAGGAGAAAGAACTTTATCAAGTGCTCCACTTACATGATTGATAACAATCTTAAGCTGGCTTTCATGATGCTCATGCATAGATTGCCACATTCTCGCCATAACATCAATAAGTTTAAGTAGCTTTAGATATAAGACTTCATCCCTTATGTGCTCAATCTCTGAGATAACAAATTGTAAGGAATCCTTACCAACAATGTATCTTGTACAAAAATGAGTGACTTCTGCATAGTCTTTGTCTTTTGCCTTCTCAGATGCTCCCTTTCGCTTAATTCTCAATGAAGCAACCTTTCTCTCATACTCATATTTCATCGTCCCAAGTGCCTTCAGTTCTTTGTACAACCTCTCTTCGAATTCACCAATACTAGCATGGATATCGAAATCATCTGATGCTATACCTTCGGACGAGCTATTCCATGTAAGAGCCCTCATAACCGTAGCAGAGTAGTCAATTCTTGAATCATATCCAATATGAGGAGCCTCGAGAATCTCCGAGATTTGGTGAGCGTTCTTGGACGATTCAAGAAAATGCTGATCAAGATCATTCATAATCTCCGTAATAACCTTCGCATGCTCTCGATCAACCTGAGAATGTACTTCTTGATTGTGAACAATTAAGGGAGTGGATTCTGTTGCTTCATTGCTGCCGTAGCTCTCCTCTTCGATCTCTAGTATTGGGGATAACAAGAAGTGAGGGCTTGTAGGGATATTGAATGTGGGACTTTCGTTTGTAGGATTAAGGACTTGAAAGCTAAAGGAGGATTTTCTTGAGGACTGATGGATATAATTGATGATTCCTTGACTGTAGTCGCCTAGAGCAGCCCCGATGTTTTTGAGGGACAAGCTATAGCCGGAGTAGGCAGTTGCCAAGGCCTGCCATGAGGCAATTGCTTCCTCAATTAGCTTCTTGCGCTCCTTGCAGAGAGAGAGAGCATCATTTTGGGTGTTTCTTGATTGTTTGCAACCCATCTTAAGCTCCTCTCTTTGATCTATTTCCCTATATCAGGTGATCTGTGGAGAGTTAGAGCATAAATGAATTCAAGTATCTAGGAAGCATAGAAGAAATTTGTCAGAGCACCAATTGGTGGAGACAATTTTTATACCGTTGTCACAATGCCGCTAGCTTGGAGGAAAGTAATGAACTCATTAGATGTGGTAATGACATCACCAAAAATATTGACAAAGAGGCTCCAACCTAGTTTTGATTACAGACATGAATTTTGTGTTGCGGATATTGCGGCAACGAAAACTGATATCAAGATCACAAAACACCAACAAAACAATAAAAAAACGTTCTTGACGCTCTTGAAAAATGTCAACTGAGACTATATTTCTATGCAAAGCTACCACAAATTTCGCACTTCTCCAGAAAAAAACAAGAGAACAGAAAGGCAAAGATACAAGTTTCCTTAACAAGGACACAATTTCAAAATATCTTATAGTGAACAGTACTCGTCGTAGATTAATTACAAGAACAAAATTGACTGCCACAGCAGGCTGAGGAGCTAAAAAATCCAACGAGTATTCAAGCATAACGACATTATATATTCTCCCACTAATAATCTAACGGAATCCCTGCTAGCTTCTTGGCCTTGCAACCCACAAGGAACTAAGCGCTCTTAACCGGGAGAAGTAATCACTAATGGCAAGCAGTGCTCGTGCAGCTTGACGGGTAGTGAGTATGCGATGCATCTGATGTAAGGTTTGCTGCCGCAAAAGATCAGCCTACAGAATTGAACAAATAAAATAAAAAAAGAAAAAAGGATCTAATTAATATATATAGTGGGGGGAAAAATGAGTGTCACTGTGGTCCCAACATTATAGGAAGGTTTACAAAGTGCTCAGATTTTCCATAGGATTACTTTTACCTCAGAATAATAGAAAGGAAAAAAAACTGAATTCAAATAATTTTAGCAAATAAAGTTCATTCAAAATGAATAAATTTGTAATGCAATTTCACTAATGTTTAATAACTTATTGACAAAAAGATCAGCATTCTAGAAAAATTTTCAGAAAGAAAACTAATTATGTACGACGCTTAATCTGAGTTGGAGTCTATTTAGATTAGGAAATATAGATTAGGAAATAAATTTAATTTTAGAGTCAAATTAGATTAGGAAACAAAATCAATTTTGATTCATGATTTGTTTCCTCTATTATAAAGAGTCTTTTTTGATAGAATTTGACATTTTTTTTTAATTCTAGTCTTACTAGGAGTCTTATTTGATACTTTCTATTTTTGTAATTCTAGTCTTACTAGGAATCTTATTTGTTTTTCTATTTAAGAAGAGTCATGTAACCCCAAAGAAGAATAACTTTTGATTAATAAAATTTTGTTTTTCTTTAATATTTAATTCATGGATTCGAAGTTCTTCGTGGATTCAGAGATCGTTCTTTGTGGATTCAGAGAACACCCTTGGTGGATTCCGAGGTTATCACTTCCGCGCTGCGTCAATTGGTATCAGAGTCTTGTTCCTCCGATCCGATAGCAGGTGATGAAACCCCTATTTCTCAAACTGAGTTCGACGTGCTAAAGGCCGATGTTAATCAGATGAAGACTGTCATGGAGCGACTTGCGACGACAGTTAAACGTCTGAACACGGCGGGAGTTCAAAATCGCGTTGATGGTCGCCAACGACGTGATCTGACTTCACAAGATAAATTCTACATCGATGATCATAGAGGCTACCGAAGAAAGGAGAACTATGATGCTGGAGGATTAAAAATATCATCGTTCAATGGAAAGCTTCATGCTGATGATTTTCTTGATTGGATTGATAAAGTGGATAAGTACTTTTAGTATAATATAATCCCAGAAGATTGAAAAGTTAAATTAGTGGTCTACAGGCTTAAAGAAAAAGCATCTGCATGGTGGGATGAAGTACTGATAAATCGATGCCATCAAAGAAAGGATCCGGTTCGAACTTGGACAAAGATGAAGAAATTATTGAGAGATCGTTTCTTACCTTTTAACTACAAGCAATGGTAGGTGTCTCTAGTGGCAAACAAGCCCCCCAGAAAGGAAGATTTTGCCACCATCAAGATTCATCCTAAGGTTCCTGATGTTGATAATGATATGTTAATGGAGATGAATATTCCACATGATATTGTGAGTGGTGTTATACATATTGATATTGTCCCGATAGAGGAGAAAGATAAAATAGAGAGTGAGATAATTGATGGTATGTGTATTGCTTGGCGGAGAGCTTGAGATAAAGGAGATGAAAGAATTGTGCATGGAGTATGAGGAAGAAAATTATTTTTTTGAAGCAATAATCATCAATAATTTTAACAATGGTGAGATGATTTTTGAAGCAATAATCATCAATAATTTTAACAATGGTGAGATGATACCGTCGACACTAGAATATGGGAAGCAACAAGGAAAATATTTGGAGGATGAGATGATACCGTCGACACTAGAATATGGGAAGCAACAAGGAAAATATTTGGAGGAGTTTTTCATGTCAACTACAGTGCCACATGTTGTCAGTTACATACACTTGTCATGGAAAAGATTCATACACAAGTTTGATACAAAAGAAGTCCTAACAGAGGAGGTAAAAAAACAAATGAAAAAAAATCAATACTAAATATAAGGCGGATGCTGATCATTGCAAGAGAAAAAAATTATTTATCAATGAAGCTACTATTCTAACAAATATAAGCTCGGGGTTAAGCTTCTTTCAACAAGAGGAGACTGATGTAGGACGCTTAATCTGAGTTGGAATCTATTTAGATTTGGAAATATAGATTAGGAAATAAATTTAATTTTAGAATCAAATTAGATTAGGAAACAAAATCAATTTTGATGGAAATAAATTTAATTTTAGAATCAAATTAGATTAGGAAACAAAATCAATTTTGATTCATGATTTGTTTCCTCTATTATAAGCAAATTAGATTAGGAAACAAAATCAATTTTGATTCATGATTTGTTTCCTCTATTATAAGGAGTTTTTTTTTTATAGAATTTAACATTTTTTTTATAATTCTAGTCTTACTAGGAGTCTTATTTGATATTTTCTATTTTTGTAATTCTAGTCTTACTAGGAGTCTTATTTGTTTTTCTATTTAAAAAGAGTCATGTAACCCCAAAGAAGAACAACTTTTCATCAATAAAATTTCTCTTTTAATATTTTCTTCGTGGATTCGTAGTTCTTCGTGGATTCGGAGATCGTTCTATGTGGATTCAGAGAACACCTTTAGTGGATTCCGAAGTTATCACTTCCGCGCTGCATCAACTAAATGTTGGGGATTTGAAATAATCAAATCAAATCCGTACGCTTCCAGATCTTGTGTTTGAGAGTTGAGCAAGAAAGAAATTCACCACAAATCAAAGATAAGAACTTGTAGGAAAGTAAGCAAGAAAGAACACACCAGATTTAACGAGGTTCGGCAACGTGCCTACGTCCTCGGAAGCCACACCACACAATTATTTGATTACTTGAAGAAGATTACAATGCTTGCAATTGGCCTCTCTCTCTCTAAGATTTCTAACCTCAAAGAGCCCTCAAAACCCTCTTTTTTCGTGCTCTTTTTCTCTTTTAAACCCTAAAGGGAGGTGTTTCTATTTATAACAAAACACAGTCCCAAACAATTTAGGATTCTAAAACGAGAGTGTCACACCCTGGTGTGGCGCAGACCACACCCATGACAGACTCTGCCACACCCTGATGTGGCGCAGACCACACCCATGACAGACAGGACAGACTCTGCCACACCCCGGTGCGGCACAGACCACACCCATGGTTTGTCCTGAATTTTCATGCGATTGTTGATTTTGATTCTAGGTTTGGGTCTCCACTTTCAAGACCAACAATCTCCCACTTGGAGATCAAACCACCATCAATGAGCTCTCCTGAACTCCCCCTTCTCGCAAGCCTATTCTCCTACTTGAAAAATCCATTCTTTAATCATTAACATCCCGGTGATCTCGCCGATCCTCGTAGTGTGGCTCCGCCTTCGTCTTCTACTCGTAAAGGCCAACTGAAGTTGCGCACAACTCCAGTTTCCCAATAGTGACTGCCTTCGTCAACATGTCCGCCGGATTTTGACTTCCCAAAATCTTTATCAAATGTAACTTTCCGTCTTCAACTAACAAGCGTATAAAATGGTATTTGACGTTGATGTGCTTCGTTCTGGCATGATATACTAGATTCTTAGCAAGATGTATAGCGCTCTGGCTATCACAATAAAGAACTCCTCTCCCTTGCTTCAGATCCAACTCTTCCAAGCACCCGTTCAACCAGATCATCTCCTTGCTTGCTTCAGTCATCGCGACATACTCAGTCTCGGTTGTAGACAAAGTCACAATCTTCTGCAGACGTGAGACCCAGCTCACTGCTGTCGACGCTAAGATATAAACATACCCTGTGGTGCTTCGTCTCGTATCATGATCACTGGCGAAGTCCGCATCCACGTATCCCTGTAGTACCAACTCCTTCCTCCTGAAACATAATGGCTTGTTCGTTGTCCCTCTCAAGTACCGCATTATCCACTTCATAGCCTCCCAATGCTGCTTCCCTAGATTGCTTGCAAATCTGCTCACAACTCCCACTGCATGGGCGATGTCCGGCCTCGTGCAAACCATTACGTACATGAGACTCCCAATGGCCGAAAAATATGGCACTCTGCTCATATGCTCTCTATCTGCATCTGTCTTAGGCGATTGCTCCTCAGATAGCTTGAACTAACTTCCAAGGGGTGTGCTAACAACTTTAGCATTATGCATGTTGAACCTCTGAAGTACCTTCTCAATGTATTCAGCTTGGCTCAATCTTAATGTCCTTTCAGCTTCATCCCTACTGATTCGCATCCCTAGAATCTGTTTCGCTGCACCTAAATCCTTCATTGCAAACTCCTTTGCTAGCTGCTTCTTCAAACTGTTTATCTCCTCTAAACATGATCCTGCTACCAACATGTCATCAACATATAATAACAAAATAATAAAGCTGAACTCGAACCTTTTGAAATAACAGCAATGATCCGAATGGCATCTTCTGTAGCCATTATTCTGCATGAAGTTATCAAACTTCTTATACCACTGTCTCGGAGCCTGTTTCAAACCATATAAGCTCTTCTTGAGCTTGCACACCATCTCTTCCTTTCCTTCTTAAAAGAAGCCAACAAGCTGCTTCATGTAGATTTCTTTATCCAAATCACCATGAAAAAAAGGTAGTATTCACATCTAACTGCTCAAGAAAGAGGTCTTCTGCAACCACCAAACTCAACACCACTCTGATGGTTGTGAGTTTCACAACAGGGGAAAATATCTTCGTATAGTCAACTCCTTCCCGCTGTTGAAACCCTTTCACTACTAATCTGACCTTAAATCTCTTGCTTCAATCACTCTCCTGCTTTACCTGATAGACCCATTTGTTATGTAAGGTTTTCTTCTGTGTAGGTAGCTGGGCTAACTCTCATGTCTAATTAGTGAGTAGAGAATCCATCTCCTCCTGCATAGCATGCTCCCACTGCTGAGATTCACTCACTTGCATTGCCTCTTCATAGCACTTCGGCTCACCGCTATCTGTCAATAATAGGTAGTCAAGAGGTGAAAGATATCTGGGATTTGGTTTGGGTACCCTGGATGACCTCCTAAGCTCCACGTCCTAGGTAGTTTCTTCTGCACCTGGAGCCTTCTCCATTCTCTGATCAGAACAAACATCATCACCCCTATTTGGAGGTTCCTCTAAATCCGTGTACTCGGATCCACCTGTATCTGTAGTGGTACTCCTACTGCTTTGGTTATCCTTGGCATTTTTCCTGTTCTTTTACATCACCTCCTCATTGAATATCACGTCCCTGCTTCTGATGATCTTCTTGTTCTTCTCATCCCAAAGGTGATACCCGAACTCATCAATACCGTATCCAATGAATGTACACTTCTGTAACTTAGCTTCTAGCTTGTCCCTGACATGGTCACTGATATGAACATAAGCCACGCAACCAAATACCCGTAAGTATGAGAGATTTATCTTCTTGCCACTCCAAATCTCATCTGGAATCCCAAAATCTAATGGAACTGATGGCCCGTGATTAATAAGGTAGGCTGCTGTATGCACTGCATCTGCCCAAAATGTCTTAGGCAGACCTGCATGTAACCGCATGCTTCTGGTACGCTCTGTCAAGGTCCTGTTCATCCTCTCGGCAATGACGTTCTGCTGCGGCGTCCCTGGAGTAGTCCTCTCTAACCGAATATCATTCGTAGCACAGAACCTCTTGAACTCCTCCAGCTCATATTTCCCACCATTGTCTGATCTCAGACACTTCACCTTCAGATCTGTCTCATTCTCCACCATGGCCTTCCACTTCTTGAAGATTCCAAACACCTCTGACTTGTGCTTCATGAAGTAGACCCATACCTTTCTCGAGTGATCGTCGATGAAGGTGACATAATATCTCGAACCGCCAAAAGAAGACACACTGGCTGAACCCCATACATCTGTATGAATCAACTCTAGCTTCTAAACCTTAGGTGGCCTTCCACCCTTTTGAAAACTAACCATCTTCTGCTTCCCAAAGATACAGTCTTCACAAACCCCGATTTCCACGACATCGATCCCAGTTAGCTTTCCTTGTGAATGCAAAATCTTCATCCCCTTTTCGCTCATGTGCCCTAGCCTATTGTGCCACAGATCTGTACATCTTCATCCCCTTTTCGCTCATGTGCCCTAGCCTATTGTGCCACAGATCTGTACTCTCTTTGCCAGCTGTAATTGCGAGGGTGTCACTCGCAGATCTGTACTCTCTTTGCCAGCTGTAATTGCGAGGGTGTCACTCGCATGTAAGGTGAGGTAGAGAGTTTTTAGTTTGTTACCTCGAGCAACTATCATCGTACCGTTGGAGATCCTCCACGAATCCTCAGTGAATGTCGAAACATAGCCTTCTGCTCCAAGCTGTCCCACCGAAATAAGATTCATCTTCAGTTTCGGCACGTGTCTCACGCTCTTCAAGGTCCACTTAGAGCCATTCATCTGAATCTACACTTCACCCTTTCCAATAATATTACAAGGCTCGTTCCCCAAATATACTTTTCCAAAATCCCCTGCTACATAATTCTGAAATAGCTTCCTGTTAGTAGTGACGTGGAAAGAGGCTCCTGAATCGATGACCCAAGAATCCAAATCGCTGTCCATTGCAAGAATCAAGGCATCCTGCACGATATGAGCCTCCTGCTCACCCGCATTCTTCTTTGGACTTTTGCAGACTGAAGACATATGGCCCTCCTGGCCACAGTTCCAACATTTTCCTTTGATAGGCCTAACCTTCGAGTTCGACCTCTTCTTTACTGATTTCGACCGATTCCTGTTCTGGTTTCCTTTCTTTTGGCTTCTGCCTCTCTGCTCGAAACTTAGAGCTGAACCTGAACCTTCTGATTCAGACGATTTCCTTCTAACCTCCTCGGATAGAATCATGCTAACAACCTCACTCAGCTTCAACTTCTCCTTTCCCGTCGAATTGCTGATTGCCGTCACACAAACTGCCCAACTATCCAGCAACTGCGATAGAATCAATAGGGCTTGCACTTCGTCATCAAACGTGATGTCCACGGAGATAAGCTGATCAACTATTGTGTTGAACTCGCTGAGATGCATCGTGAAAGACCGTCCTTCTGCCATCTTGAAGTTGAAAAGAGTTTTGACTAGATGCACCTTGTTTGCTGCCGACGGTTGCTCGTACATCTTCGCGAGCGCTTCCATAAGCCCCACCGTCGTCTTATCTTTCAGAATATTATAAGCTACTGATTTGACGAGCGACAACCGAATTTGCCCTAGAGCCTTCCTATCCAGTACCTCCCAATCACTATCTGACTCCTTTCCCTTTTCCTTGCCCATCAACGGGCGATACAAGTCCTTCTAGTACAGGTAGTCCTCCATCTGCGACTTCCAGTAGGCGAAGTCTGAACCGTCAAACTTCTCAATCTTTGATTTGATTTCCTCTGCCATGGCTCTCTTTCACACAAATTGCTGAACCTGGCTCTGATACCAGTTGTTGGGGATTTGAAATAATCAAATTAAATTCGTACCCTTCCGGATCTTATGTTTAAGAGTTGAGAAAGAAAGAAATTCACCACAAATCAAAGATAAAAACTTGTAGGAAAGTAAACAAGAAAGAACATACCAGATTTAACGATGTTCGGCAACGTGCTTACGTCTTCGGGAGCCTCACCACACAATTCTTTGATTACTTGAAGATTACAATGCTTGCAATTGGCCTCTCTCTCTCTAAGATTTCTAACCTCAAAGAGCCCTCAAAACCCTCTTTTTTCTTGCTCTTTTTCTCTCTTAAACCATAAAGGGACGTGTTTCTATTTATAACAAAACACAGTCCCAAACAGTTTAGGATTCTAAAACGAGTCTGCCACACCTTGGTGTGGCGTAGACCACACCCATTGCAGACAGCGCAGACTCTGCCACACCCTGGTGTGACGCAGACCACACCCATGACAGACAGGGCAGATTCTACAACACCCTGGTGTGGTGCAGACCACACCCATGGTCTGTCATGAATTTTCATGCGATTGTTGATTTTGATTCTAGGTTTGGGTCTCCACTTTCAAGACCAACACTAAACAGCTTCAATAGGTCAAAATTTGACAACTAATGTTATTTAAATAGAACAAATTCCAAAAACTGATGTCAATTAAAAAGAAAAGTTTGGTATAATTACAGCTACACCATTGTATTATAGGAAGTTGAAAACTTATTAAACCTAAACATTCTTATTAGCATCTTTACCTTATTATCTCAAAATGGAACTATCTTCTCTGTTAACTATACTCATCGTGTGGGTGTCACAAGAAGTCAACGTGTCATACAGAGATCCCTGATATTTCAATGCGTTTAGTAAAGACCTTATAATCTTGTATACTTGTTGAACATAACATCCCCAGTTACATGTTTACATATAACAGGGAGGTTAACATTTGTATATCAGTAATCTAATTGCTATAAAAAATGGAGATATTTAGTGGGTAGGCTCCTATGCTACATGGGATTAATCTGCAATTACTAAAAAAACAAGGGCTGGATCCGAATAGTACCATGAAGAAAAATAACTAATCCCTACCTGTCGTAGGAAGTTCTCAAGTGTTCCGAGCTTGCCCATCGCAACTGCCATCTGATCCATATAGTTAGCAACATTGTCAGAGCCAGCAGATTGTCTAGGAGCTGCAGCTGCAAGTGTATCCAACAAAGACTGCTGCAGAGCTTCCATCCCCTGCGATAGCGCATCCTCAGCCTGCTGTGAAGACTGCTGAAGGTTGCAAATACCCATCAACTGTTGGTCTGTCAAGGGCTCGAGCTGACCTGCAAGTATCTGCAAATTATTTCATTTTTTTAGGATTTCAGATCATAATACATTATCTAGGGTAAATTTCACGGAACATCCTGAACTCTAGGGGTTTTGAACAAAAACTACCCAAACTCTATATATCACATAGTCCCCCACTACTTTCAAAATAATACTTAACTCCCTTGAACTATTGGATATTCTCAGTGTTAACAGGTAGAGTAAAAAGTGTAAACTAGCATTTTTACTTTTTACCTGCCCGAAACAGCACATATTATATTTAGTTGATATGAGTAAAATTGTCCAAACATTGGCATGTGTGGCGCAGGTGATTACTTACGGAGGTTTTTTTTTATAATTTATAGCATTTTGGTTTTTTTTGGGGTTTTCTTTTTTGTTTTTTTTGGGGGGGGGGGGGGGGGGGGGCGG